TATATGTATATTGTATTTTATAAAACCTTGTTTTCTGAAGTTGTCTAATTAAATTACCAACATTTGTGTCTGTAGAAACTTTATTTTCATTATTATTATTATTTTTTAAATGCATGAGTTGGACCAGATAAAAAACTAGTTTTAAATGGCCTCGTTATGAATGCAAAACTCATTTATTATATAGCCACAGTCATCGTTCTGCAGTCATGTACAGCATTTACACACAGGACGGGAAGAAAGAGCTGAGAAATGAAAGACACGTCAGCAAAATCAGCTGAATCAGCAAAACATCTGCGAACGCTTCGCAGCAGAAAAACCACAAACAGCTCAAAAATGAGTTACATAACAGCGTTCATTCATCAGACGACAAATAAAGCGACCAATACAGATCAATCACGTGAAGAGAACGTCAGGGGCCTAATGTTACATCAACCTCAAATCAGCTTGATTTACTCCAGCGTATGATTAAGAGCCATTCATTAGCGCATGTTATTCTGAAGAAACTAATATTTATCCTCACAGTCGTTCATCCAAGTGTAATGACTTTCCTGCTCTAAATTGTAGAAATGTCATAATTTCTTTCTCATATTCAGTGTTTCACTCGGAAAAATGGATTGCATTTTAGAGAATTCTGTGAAGCCTTGATTATATTCAGATATTTTTATATTTGAATTATGCAGAAAACTAGAATGTGGAAAAGTATAATACGGAAAAAATACAGTTTTGGTTAAATTTAACATGCTAACATGAAAGCAGGATGATGCATGGTATTCAACAAGACAATGGGCAGAGAAATCGCAATTTAATACAGTAAAATCAGAGTTTTCTCCAATAAAAATATACAAAAATAATGTGAAAAACCAAAGGCCTCAAATACAGTATATATGCTGTAAAAATTATTTTTCGAAATTTTAAATAAAGCAAAGATTATTTATCCAGTAAATACTATTTCAGTCTTTCTACTTCAAAATTTCACATTTAATTCAGTGTTACTTGCCGTTGCTGTGTAATTATTTGTGAAATTTACTATCAATTTCTCCTAAAAAAAAATTCAGTTTTAACATAATTTCCCTAAATTCAATGAGTTTTTATGGAATGCTTTAGAAAAGCGTTCAGATAGAACAGGACTTTATGGACTTCTGAAATAACATTAAACGGGTCTCAGAATGATGTTTTAGTAGCACATGGAAAGGTTATTTCACACTCACTGTTCGGCCTTTGGATCCAGGCAGACCCGGTAAACCAGGAAGACCGGGAAGACCGTCGGATCCCGGATACCCGTCTATCCCTCTGGGCCCCGGCAATCCAACCGGACCCTAAAAGACATTCAGAGAGAGTCACATGACCACAACAACATCCTGTGAGGGGGCGGAGCCTGCGGCTGCTGTTTACACATATTATTAACACTTAAAAAGACGAGCCATCATAAATGATTTCTGGTCTGGGGAACAGATACACAAAGCTAATTTGACATGGAAATTGCAATAATATATGTTACACCACTTAAATACGCTCAAAAAACATATTTATGCCTACATTTACGATGTACATATTTTAATTCATATCAAATTTCCATACATTTGGATTACAGTTTTTCTAATAATCCTAACATGATTCATATTTAGATAAAATGAAACGATTTCTGTAATAGTGCTAATAAACTGAATGTGTTTTAAACACACAATAACCAGCTTTATATATTTATCAAGTTGTTTTAATCTCATACATTTTAGCTAAGTATTGCTTGTTCCACAGCTACTCATATTTTGAACCATGTTCATTCTTTTTAAATGTACAAATTCATTTATAAATAAACAAAATTTTTTGTTAATTTTTATAAATAAAAATAAACTTGAATTTATCTATTTATTTTACAGTGAACAGATTTATGCTGATTCTAAGCAATTTAAATATATATTTTTTTAAGTATTAAATTCAATATGAAAAAATGATTTTAATGAAATCAAATAGATGTAAATAGTTAAAAATAAAAATTAATTTTTTTTTGAGTGCAGAAATCTCATCCGTTTCATATTTGACTGACATATAGGCGTCACATTAAGTTCAGTTCATTATGTTAAAACTGTGCAATGCAAATATAAGGAAAGTTTTACATTTAATTCACACACAAAAATCTTAACATTTCTGAGTGTTTTCTGTTTAAATTTATGTAAATGTCATGATTTTATGAATGTGTAAACATAAAATTGTGGTGTAAAACACACACCTCAGGACCTGGCGCTCCAGCGGGCCCTCGGGATCCTTTCTTCCCAGCGAGTCCCTAAAAACACACACACAAACTTATTCAATAGCCTTATATAATACTGTTACCTAAGAATGATTGGAGTGAATGAAAAGAATGATTTCTGCATGACGTGATAAAGAAAGCGCTTTAATCTTGTTATTCAAGCGTCTCTGAGCACACAGTTCCTTTAATGCTCTGGATAACAGAGGAAAGGCAGACACGACTGACTAAAGTCACGCTGGGTGGCCAAACGCGCCGTGATTCTGTTTCGCTCAGGTTTTGAATGCCGTTCATTGGCTGATATCTGAATGGGATATTTGTGACGCTGAATGTGGATCACTGACTGTTTACACGAGCGTTCCAGGATGGATTTGCAAAATGAAACAAGCACAATACAGAATTATTTCTGTTACACAACTTATAGAGTAGTATATAATATAATTGTCGATTATTCCCTTGAAATTGTAATTGCGATTATTAATTACGATTATCACATTTTACATTGAATGATGTTTATACCATTGTTTGAAGCAACCGCATGCCATATTTTTGCCATATACACTGAAAAACCTTTATTGCTTTTCTATAGTATTAAGCCTCAAATGTCAACTATACATCGGACTGGTTTCTTCTTTAAATAAGAAAAAATATTATAATGTTTTATTAACACTAAAATTAAAACAATGGAAAGATAACATTAAGAAAATTTGTAGAAAGCGAAAAATGTAGAAAGAAAAAAAAAACATATCTTAAGCATGCAGAATAACATAAGTGGACTTTGAACGATTAATTGCCGTTTTGAACGATTACGTAATTGTGGCATCCGTAATCGCGATCAGAAATTCGATTAATTGTGCATCCCTACTACAGAGGCGACCTGCCATTGACTTCTGTTGTTTTTAAATAAAACTATTTGTTTGCTCCAGTCTGACCCTAAACTTTTGCCATTTGTAGATTTATAAAACATTAGAATACTGCTTACTGAATTTAATTGCTTTATACTATTTTTTTTAACTATGTGAAACAGCATGCACTATGAAAAGATTTCAAATTTAAAAAATGCTACGTTGTTGTCACATGACCTCGCTACATTGCATCCTTAATTCTTCTCGAAAATATATAGTGCTATTTTGCATTTTAGTGCAATTTAAGGGTAAAGATGTGTTTACTTCTGGCAGACTGCTAAAATAACGAGTCAAGAAAAATTAACAATTGCAGTTGATATTACAAACACTGAAAACTGAAGAGAAACAACATCATACCAGGATTATTACAGTCAAATAAAACTAAAACCATAAAAATATTTTTATTCAAAATAACATTTAACTGACATAAAATTTGATATTTACAAAAGCCCTTGAACTTATTTTATTTTAGCTAGTTGCCAAGCCAACATTTCTCATTTTTTATTTAGTGTAATGTGATATACTAAAATAACTAAAACTGAAATAAAAATGAATAAAAACAATACAGTAATATATAAAAATAACAAAAACACACAACGAAATTACTAAAACTTGAACTAAAATTAAAATGGACACAGAAAATATAATTCAGTTTGTTTATTTAATTTCAAGTAACAAAAAATGATTTTTTTAATGGTTTAATTTTAGTTTTAACTATATGAAACCTGTATCAGCTCATCCAGAAAAATACAGAAAAATGACAAACCACACAGTATAAAAAAAAAAAAAAAACTTGCTACGTGTACTGCGTTAAGCTAACTGACACTTGCATATCATTGCTCTCTTGTTGATTTTGATTGCTTCCATTGTCCTCATTTGTCAAACAAGCGTCTGCTAAATGACTAAATGTAATGTACATGTACTACCTATTGCAGAAATAGCATGCTAACACTTATACAGACACAAACCTGAACTCCCTTCTCGCCCTTGGGTCCTGCTTCACCAGGAAGTCCTGGAGATCCCTTGGGTGTGGGGAAAAATGAAAAGATTGTGTTTTAATTTCATTATGCAAGCAGACACTTCAGTGTGACGTTCCTCTGGCCCAGAGACGTGTGGCCAGAGTCCAAAATTAACCAGAGAAAAAACTGCAAACATTGGCTTAGGTACATCAAATTTTCCAGTAACTTAATTGGAAAAGTTATGCAACAAAAAGCTCTGCTCCAAATCCTTGTGAGCCCCTACCTAGACAGCATTTTTAGGCATCATAGGGTGTAACTTCTGATGCAAAGACATGCATCAAACACATACAACATGCTAAGGTCGAACTCTGTTGTCAGATGAATTTCCAGTGCACTACTTGCATGATGCACTGGTTGCTGTCTATGTAGGTAGACAGCAGCAGTTTTGGATCAGAGCTGCAGTGTTGGTCAAACATCAGACTTACAGGAGATCCCTGCTGACCAATCGCTCCACGGGCGCCTGTGACCCCTACGTGACCCTAAAACACACAAACACACACACATTACTGCAGCGTTGACATAACAAATATGAATATGAGTGTCGACTGTTTGTGATGAAAACAGGCCTACAGTGCTGCAGGATCCAGAACAGTTCAATCTAGATCACAGAAAACATCTTAAAAACAATCAGCAAAAGAACAAAACCGGAGTCTCCAGTGCTCAGAAAAGACGCTGTTATGCTGCTGCTAAGGTATTTCGAGTAATTTTTATCATGTTGCTGTGTGGTTGCTAGTGTTGCTATGCAGTTTCTCATCATGTTGCTGTGGAGTTGCTAGGGTGTTGCTATGCAGTTTCCAAGGTGCTTGAGCGGTTTTATCATGTTGCTGAGTGGTTTCTAGGTTGTTGCTATGGAGTTTCTAATCATGCTGCTTTGTGGTTGCTATGAAGTTTCTGATCATGTTGCTCTGGAGTTGCTAGGGTGTTGCTATGCAGTTTCCAAGGTGCTTGAGTGGTTTTATCATGTTGCTAAGTGGTTGCTAGGGTGTTGCTATGCAGTTTCTAAACATGTTGCTTTTTGGTTGCTAGGGTGTTGCTATGCAGTTTCTGATCATGTTGCTGTGGAGTTGCTATGCAGTTTCTGAAGTGTTCCGAGTGAATTATATCATGTTGCTGTGTGGTTGTTAGTGTGTTGCTATGCAGTTTCTGGGGTGCTCTGAGTCATTTTTATAATGTTGCAATGTGGTTGCTAGGGTGTTGCTATGCAGTTTCTGATCATGTTGCAGTGGAATTGCTAGGGTGTTGCTATGCAGTTTCCAAGGTGCTTGAGTGGTTTTATCATGTTGCTGAGTGGTTGCTAGGGTGTTGCTATGCAGTTTTTGATCATGTTGCTTTGTGGTTGCTGGGGTGTCGCTATGCAGTTTCTGAAGTGTTCCGAGTTAATTTTATCATGTTGCTTTGTGGTTGTTAGTGTGTTGCTATGCAATTTCTGGGGTGTTCTGAGTGGTTTTTATCATGTTGCTTTGGTTGCTAGGTTGTTGTCATGCTGTTTCTCATGATGTTGCTGTGTGGTTGCCAAGGTGTTGCTACGCAGTTTCTGAGGTGTTCCGAGTGTTTTTTTATCATGTTGCTATGTGGTTTCTAGGGTGTTGCTATGCAGTTTCTGATCATGTTGCTGTGTGTTTGCTAAGGTTTTGCTATGCAGTTTTTGATTATGTTGCTGTGTGGTTGCTAGGGTGCTGCTGTACAGTTTATGAGGTGTTCTGAGTGGTAGTTAAGCTAGTTAGTGAAGAGGAATGATTTTTACAAAGAATGAAATTCCTCCTTACAGAGAGACTAACCTGATATCCATCATCTCCTGGTTCCCCACGTTCACCTTTCTCTCCTGAAGAGCCCTATATGCACACAAACATTGATATGTTGTCTTACTTCTTCAATTAAGTGATGTAAATATCACCACCTCTTTATTTAGTGATTTCATTCAAGGTGTTGGACAAAAACAGGAAGTTAAAGGAAATTAAGACCTACTGGTTCACCTAAGGGCCCTGGTGGTCCTTCCGTTTTACTGTCTTCTCCTGGATAACCCTGAAAAATCAGTCAAACTCAGAATCTAACACTATTCTTTCACTCTTTTTCACATATTTGCATACATTGCATAATAATTTAACACATATATGACATTTAGACTGAGATTGTCATTTAAAGATCAAAATATGTTGTATAACCTTTTCTCCCTTTGGTCCTGGGGGGCCTGCTGGACCTGGCTTGCCAGTGTGACCCTATGGTTAAAGAAAATAGAGAAGAAAGATAAAAAAATAGATAATTTCCTTGTCTAATCCAAAATAATATTATTTTGTGAATAGCTATAGACCAGCTAGGTTGAATAATCGGAATCTCAAAACTTTCAAACTTTAACTTTCAAAACTTTCTGCAAATGTGAGTGTGATTTTGTAAGCATTCATAAGTGCATATATTTGTATGCATGAAACTCACTGTGTAACCTTGAAGTCCCGGCTCTCCCTGAGGTCCCATAACTCCTGGTCGACCCTGAAATGTAATGAACAAAAAACACACACACGTAAGTTAGCTTGTGTTTTGTAGTGTACTCGTCGTACCTCAACAAATAACCTTCTAAAAATAACCTGAGTTTCCTGTGCTGAAAAACACATTGTTGGATGGAGTCTTAAAAAATGACTCCTGCTGCTCATCCCATTATGGCTTCTTGGAAAACCATTTGCTTATGAAAACAAGACGCTAAGTTTCCCTAACTACACTTGTTTTTACATTTCATCGATGCCGTTAAATCCTGAGGGAAAAGCAGGGGCAAAATAAACAAAACAATCCCAGACATTTTCTCTGTTTATAAAATCCAGCCTAAAACGACCAAATCAGTAGGCGCTTAACTGCATTGTACAAGAAAAGCAGATTAGTCCCTAGTATCTCTAATGGCATTAGTGTAAATCCCATCAAAATGCTTTGGTTCAATTCCAAATCCCGCTAATGTTTACACATGCCTTAACTGAGCCAGTAAAAGCAGTGAGTTTGAGGGTAAAATTCGTTCTCAGCATGTTAGCAAATTATCACGCTCTTGTCAGCTCATACAGAAACAATAGTTCATTTTTTAAATACCTAATTACTTTTACTAACAAAACTATCCACTAACATGTCTGAACCAATCACACATTTGTACTGTAGTTGTGTGGCAAAACAGCAACAATTATTCACATAATACATTACTATCTAGGGCTCCCCTAGTGGTGCAATCATATGTAGCAGCATAATGTTGAGGTTGTGGGTTCAAGCTTCAGAATAGGCCCGAATTTCCCCTTGTTAACAAATTCAGTGCATCCATTTCTCTCATTCGTACTGTTTCGTTTGGCACTGCTATTGCAGTAGCTTTATGATGGTGATGGTGAAGTTACTGCTTAATCGTCTTTGGGATTTGCACAGCCATTTCTCAACATTAGAAAGAGTGAAGGGATGCGTTAAAAGAGAAAGCACACTAACTGCGGGTCCTCTGGTTCCACGAGCACCTTTGAGTCCTCTCTCCCCTGTCTGTCCGATTTCGCCCGGTGAGCCCATCTCTCCCAAGTGACCCGGCAACCCTTTTTCACCCTACCAAAAAGGAAGATGGAAATATCAAAGGGCAGGACTGGTTTAAATTGTTTACAAGCGAGAATGACAAGAAAAATGTGACTGTATTGTGAAAATACAGAGCAGAATGTGTCCCAAACAAGCTAAGGCGAAGAAGAGTACCACAGGGCTCTATTCTAGGTCCGTTTTATTTCTGACACAATACTGCAGATTGTAAAGACTTCTGTTTCCACCCTTGTGCTATTAAAATGAAATGGTCCCATATATTGTTTTAATGCAATTTAATTCAATTTAGTTGCCATAATTTTTTTTGATTCACAAATTTTGGTTACCTTCTTTCCTGGACGTCCACGGTTGCCGGGCAGACCTTGTTTGCCCTCAGGTCCCTGATGGAGAAATGAATGTTTTAACTTCACATTGTCAGTACAAATTTCAGACAAAATACACTTGCATTATGTAAAGAGCTGTTTGGAGAGATTTTGTCCATTGCACACAACTAAATGGCACAAATGCATTACATTAGATTCACTCCGTCACTCTTTCGTCACTCACCGGGAAGCCTTTTTCCCCAGGATTTCCAGGAAGTCCTAGTGGGCCAGAGTCACCAATCTCACCCCTTTCTCCGGCTTCTCCCGTTGGTCCACGGTCACCTGGCTCACCCTAGGAAGTAATAACAGAATAAAAACAAATTTTTTTTTTCCAAAATTTTTTTTTGGTTTCGGTACAATGGTTTTAGGAATCAACATAATATGATGTTGACAATGTGTACCCAAGTGCATACTGGGCCAACCAAAGAAAAAATTAGCAGCAAACAGTTTTTACACAATTTGCGAACAGTTGATGCAGAATATACTGAAAAACAATTTAAAGATTTACTTTAATTTGAATAATTTAGACTCTGAAATTGCTAATAAATTTCACAAATAATTACAAACGAACATTGAATTAAACATGAAATTTTGAAGTTGAAAGAAGTATTTTCTTGTAAAATGTACTCCAATAAACTTTGTTTTATTTAGTTATTTATATACATTTAATAAAATTACTTTTTACAAGTATATTGATCAAACTTGCCAGAAAATGGTTTACAAGGCGACAGGTTTGACAAGACAAGACATTATGCATTTCTCATCATTCTCTAAAATAGATCAAATAGAATGCAAAAATAAAATAATAAATGAAATAAAATGCTAAAATAGTAAATCTCAAAATCCCTTTTATCATTTTATTGTATTACGAGTAAAAAGGTTCAAGCGTAAAAGTGTTCCTGTTGCCCAAATGATAAAAGCATGGCGCTAGCAACAACAGGGTCATGGTTTTGATTTGCAGGAAATGCATAATAATATGTATAAATGCAGTGCAAGTCATTTCGGATAAATGCATCAACCTAGATGTAAATGCAAGTAGAGAATTTAATCTGGAGTCTCACCTTTGGTCCATCCTTCCCTTGATGCCCGTCCTCTCCAGGTGGCCCTGGAGGACCCTAAAACAAACAGTAGCATGTTAGACCAGGGTTTAAATGCAGAAAAGCATCATGGGATTCATCCCACACACCAGCTGAAACGGCTGCAGAAATGTGCTTATTTGTTTTTCCTATTAACCATTACTGCCATTTTTATTTGTATAAGCAAATCAACATATCTGATTGCAGTATTAGCAAGATTATGAATAAATATTTTACAGTCTGAATAACATTTATTTTTTCCCACAATGCAGTAATGGGAATGAATTTATGATTTATTTTGGGATGAAACACGAGCCGGAAAAATGCACGAAAGGTTTCATGAGATTCACTCAGTTAGGACGCTGCTCCCAATGTCATAATATCCAATAACAAACACAGAGCATTGCTTGAATAATTGAACCAGAGACAAAGACGTTCAGTGTGTGTGAGCCTGAGGGTCCTTCTGTCAGATTATTGACACTGTTTGGCTCACATGAGTTAAAGCAATGAAAACACACTGATGGATCACGTTCACTTGGACATTTTGGAGCAGGAATGCAGTCGGTTCACTCACTCTGATGCCCGGTTGGCCCAGTTCACCCTCTTCTCCGACAGGCCCCATTTCACCCTGGAAAAAGACAGAAAGACACAGTTGCAAATGCCAACAGTTCTCGCTTTAATACTGTTATTATTGGAGCTTGTCAGTATAAATCATCCATTTCCATTGTATTTAGTTGTAAACGGCAGCTTGGATATTCTGCTTAACGTCTCCTTTTGAGTTCCACAGCAAATGTAATTAATACGACATTAGAAAGATGGTAATTTTTGGATCTCTTTAAGTCTATAAAGCCTACTGTATCATATTTGATACGGAAAGGCCTCTAAATGATCAACACGATTGAAACATTGCTGAAAAACCTGTTGCACAATCTACTCCATGCCTTCTGTCATCTGATTTATAGAGTTTTTTTATCCAGTAAAAGCTCATTTAGTGTAATTGTACAAACGTGTCTTTCTGCTGTCAGATCTTGAGTGATTTTTATCAAGTAAACGTCAGAATAACTGCAGTAATATCTCCAGATGAACACTTACTGGACTGAAACAGCTCAGCTTTACTTGATTCTCCATCAATCATGTTTTAGAGTCTCAAATCTGATCCTCAGGATCTTTTGAGGAGCGTTTGTTTCCAGAAGCTTTACTTTCACTGTTCCTCAGCGGAGGCTCCAGAACATCTCACATCTTCTGAGGAGCCTTTATTTCTTCATTTGTTATATTATTGGAGATATAGAGCAACCACTGATATTTATATCATTGTATGTCAGTATCTGCTGTACTGTTAGAGAGATCTCACTGATTTACATTACAAGCTTCAGAATTTCATCTTACTTTTGTCCATATAAATATCAACATCTGCACCAAATTGCATATTCTTGCTCAGTTTGAGTCTCTGAATAAAATTGAGCTGTTTTTCTCTTCATATTCTCACTCTATCAGACTATATGTATCGTAAAAGCCTGATGCATCAAATATGATACTCAACAAAAACCACATATGCAAACTTTCTTTTAATATTTTAATCTAAAGTTTCAATCATCTGTTCCATTTCAATGTCCATTTCTGACTATTATTACATGTCAGGCTTTACAGGGTTAAGAGTTTTGCCTCACCTTGATCCCAGGTTCACCCACAGGTCCCTGCTCTCCTTCAGGTCCTGGAGGTCCCTGTGCATGCACAAAAGAGGGAAAAACACCAGCAAACAAGAAGTCAAAATAACACAAACATACTCATATATCAGATCCTAAACACAGAAATAAAGCCAAATTAAATAACATGCAACGTAATTAATTTACTAAATGATTAAAATGTGCAATTATTAACGGTTCTGCAGTGCACAGTGTGTTTTTACACTCCTTAGGGAGCCTGTAATCTATATTGAATTCAACAGTATTACGTAACTCGGCACAGTAAAGAATGATCCCTCATTTAATTAGCATGTTATTGCATAATTGAGCACAGAAGAAATCCATTACACACAAAAATTCTGTTTCTTTCAGGATGTACCTCGTGACCTTGCTCTCCATCTGGTCCCGGGTCCCCTGGGGGGCCTCTGGAGCCCTTAAAATAATCAAATAAATATGATGTAAATATGAAATCATGCACAATTCCCCACAAAACAAACAGTTTTCTCATAAGCAGTCTTGTTTTGATATTATAAATTGTATTTACATGAATCGCACTTGGCGCTCGATGTGAAAGGATCTTACGATTACGCCTAACTAGAGGTGAATTTCACCTTGCATGTTTTAATGCACATGTGAACAGCATAAAAGTGAGTGTCCATATGTTGATGTATGTTTCTATGTGCACATAATCGCGTGTCAACATGAGGACATTCAGATGCACACGGGATCAAAGACTGGAAACATGAACCCGTTCCAGAGACGCTGTTAAACATCTTTCATCTGCTTACAGAACGGCTGATTACATGTTTAGATGTAAAGACACAAAACCCTGGCGCTCAACGCAGGAAATGCCTCACAAACCCTCGGAGGTCTTCACATCATGACTTACATGTGTTACACAGGAAAAAACCCTCGGAGGTCTTCACATCGTGACTTACATGTGTTACACAGGAAAGATGCATCAACGAGTCACGTCATGCATGCTTGCTGAGACTATATACCGCACATTTCTGAAGGTTTAGCACATTGCTAGTCATATGAACACAACTTGTTCAAATTAATATCCTTCAGTTGATGCAGTTTTAGATCTTTATTTTTGCTTGTCTACACTCAATCATGCCACTTTATTGCAGTCCAAAACTTTTTTTATTGAAATGCATGCAGTTTACTTAATCAGGTTGTTATTGTTTAAACAAACTATTAAAAATAATTTTTGTTAATTGGAATAAAGCTGAAATAAAATAAAATATAAATATTCGATGAAATTATTCTCTTTAAAAAACTTCAAAATTAATGAAAATTAGAAGTGTTGTAGACATTTAAGTATTAAAATGACTAAAATGAATGAAAAAAAAATTAAAGCTATATAGAAATATTTAAAACTAATAAAAAGACAAACATGCTCAACAAAACTACTAAAGATTAACATAAGTAAAATAAAAAGGTAAAATAAAATACAGCTAATTCATTTATATATATATATATATAATTAAGTTATAAGTTTAACTAAAACTAAAAAAAAATAGTTATATAAATCTTTAAAAGTAATAAAAATCAACAAAATTACTAAAACTTCAACTAAAAAAAAACATAAAAAACTGAAAATATATCAATTATTAAATTATTATAAATTTTACACACACATACACACACACAAATACTATAATAGTATAAAAATAATAATAATAAAATAACACTAAACCTGGCACTATATGTGCTGCTATAAAGCTGTACCATGCATAATAAAGCTTTTTAAATTAATTTTCTATATAAGAACATTTTATTTACTCACAGGTTCACCTGGAGGACCTTTTTCACCTGTGTTGCCGGAAGGACCTGCTTTACCCTGCAAAACACACACACACACACACACACACACACACACACACACACAAACTG